ACAGTCACTTTGGAAAATTATTGGCATAAGGTACTAAAGCTGAACATGCTCGTATCCATACTTGCCCAGCAATTCCACTTCTGAGTATGCACCCAACAGAAATGCAAACGAATGTGCTTCCACAGACACTACTAGAATGCTCATAGTAGCGGTAGTCATAATAATCCCAGACTGAAAACAACAATCCAAGTACTCAAACATCCATCAACAAGAGAACGGACCAGTAAACTGAGAACAATCCACATGGTGGAATACTCTATAGCAACGAGAATGAATGAACTCCAAGTATAAGCAACAGCTTGGATGAAACTCACAAATATAATGTTAAGGAGAAGGAGCCAGACATGGAAGAATAAATACGGTATGATTCCATGTATATGATATAAATCTCAAAAACAGGCAAAACTAATGTATACCACTATAAGTGAGAATGGCGATTATTCTTTGGGGCAGGAGGGGATGCTGCTGATGCTGTTTCTTGCTCTGCTTTCTGGTTACTAAAGATAGTTCACTTTGTGAAAATTTACTGAGCTTTGCACTTATGGTTTGTACTTTTTTTTTTTTTTGCATGTATGTTATCCTTCAATAACAACAACAACAACAACAAAAGATTTTTTTTTTTTAACCCAGATCAATTGGGTCAGTATCTTTGGCGTGAGGATGAGGTCCAGACATCAGTATTTTTTAACACCCTAGATGATCGTAATGTGCAGCCAGGGTTGAAAGCCACTGTTTTAATCTCTTGAGAAAAGTGGATCTATTCAAAGGCCTCACATGGTCCTAATGAAGGGCACTTCGGAATCGGTGGAGGGAGATGCTGGGGTGGGAAGAGGTCCATCTTTGTTGATATGAGTGAGCCTCCTGTATGGGCAGAGGAAGTGCTGTCACATGTTGTTGTAATGTTGCAGTGTCTGTTGAAAGCTGGTTGCATCAGTTTGGTGTGTAATGGGAAGAAGGTGGGCCCTAGCCCCGCCCCAGGGAAGTGGTTCGCTCAGCACAGCTGCTACACGGTCATTTATAGAGAGGTGGCATCTGGGCTTCCCAAGAACTGCTAACAGGGCCAGAGGCGCTGCTGAGGCTCCAACACCTGGTAGGGGCAGGGGTGGGTGTTTATGTTTATGAGTAGTAGCCAGCTCTGGGTTCCAGATGATGCCCAAACTTCCTGGCCTCTGGGTCCAGATTAAGAACTTGCAATGTCTTGCTGAGGACCACACTGGGCTTGACTCATATGTCTGGGCTGAGAATATTCCTTCCTCTTCGTGTGGTTAGTGACAGCCATTCTAGCAATTGCCAACCTCCAGTGTACTCTGGTCAAACTATAGGCAGCTTGGACAGGACAAGACATGGGCTTACACACTACACAGGTGCTCTGCCCACAGGGGCCCCATGCATTCTCCCAAAAGTGCACAGAGCATGCACCTCCTGCTGTGTGAGGGGCTGTGCAGGGAGGCCTCGGAAGCTTCCCCCAGCCAGCCAGGGCCCTCCACCATGAAGCGGCAGGCTGTGTCCCTGCATGTTTGCCTCCTAGCAGCGCGTCTCTTGGGCAAGTGTGAACAGGAAGGGGCCTGGGGTCTCATGACCTCTGCTGGGAGGGACGCTGCGGGGGCCTTGGCTGGGCTCACTTGGCGTGGGACACAGAGTGGCATGGGCTGGAAGAGGACAGGCTAAGCTGATAAGGGCTACACCACTCCGAGGGTAGCCATCACACGTTAAAAACGAATAAACCTGTCCCCAGCTGCTCAGCCCCCACTCCTCGAATTGAAAAAAACAAATCCCTAGAGGTAAAAGAATCAGGAATAAGGAAGCCGAGGTATAAGAGTGCCTCTCCACTGAAGCTGCAGCTCTCCACTTCCCTGGCTTCAGTCTCCTCCCTGTGAAATGGGTGTGGTGACCCCCAGGCCTTTCCTCCTGCCCAGGAGGACTGAAGGTCCATGGCTCTGCTGGAGTGGGCCAGGGGAGGCCTGGGTCCCAAGGGCTATGCCTGGGCTGTCCCTGGCTGAGATCTCAGTCCCCACATACCTAACCTCACCTCCCTTGTCTGTGAAATACCACGATGGGGGCTTCTGCCAGCCGGAGTGGCATTGCCCCTTCCTGTTGTCTGTTTTAAGAAGCATTTGTGAAACGTTTCCTTTTCGTGCTTCAGGAAATGGGTGGTCAAAAAGAATTCATGATTCTACTTTTCCCCTAGAGGTACATAACGCGTGCTTCGGAGGGGCGTACAAACTAAACGAGACGGAGGGCTGATGGGGCGGAAGGCTGAGGAGGCAGGAGAATCCAGGCAGCGCTCCAGCTGACCTCAGAGGTGGCCACAGGGCAGCTGGGCTCCGGGCACTCCTCGGGGTGCGAGGTGTGAACTGCGCGAGTTGTTTATCCTCTCCGGGTGCCAGTTTATCCTCCTCCCAGTGGACAGACAAGCACATGGTATTCCTCAGAGCGAAAGCGTCGCAAGCTGGTGACCTGAAAGCACATAGGCCTGGCTGGCGGGCTGACCTGAGGGACAGCTAATTTCGTGTCTGAGGGAGCCCCACCAGACACATCTGCGATGTCCCCCAACACCCACTTTATGTCCCCCAACACCCATTTTACCTTAAGACCCAGTAAGGATGTTATCCAGGCATTTAATCTTTTTCTGAAACTATTGATATTTCCCTGTCTGTCATGTATTTTCAAAAAGTCATCACGAATTCTCTGTCCTGGTTCTTTTTATTTACATGCTTATTTTCTTCTCAAAACACTTTAATATTTCCCAGGATGGAGAAGTCACAAATCTAGTACCCTCTATTATCTATTATAGTTAAAAACTAGGAAGTGAATTTTAAAAAGCCCCTGAGTAGCCCAGAGATGTCACAGAGGTCCTAGATAGGACTCCTAGAATGTCTCAGGCTCACTCAGAGACTATTCTTGTTTGAGATGCAAATCAGAAAAAGTTTCTGTATGGCCAGAGTCCCAGTAGAAAACAGATGTGCACTCCACAGGTGACAGGAGAGCTTCATGAAGGACTGTGAACAAGGGTGTGAGCAGGATTAAAGGGACGAACAAGGGAAGGAGATGTACCCAGGAGCCAGCAGCAGTGGGGAGCGGTTACCCAGGGCCTGAGGGAGAAGGAGGTTGGAGGAGGGGGGAGTGGTTGCAAGAACCTGGAGACCCATAGGACAGCGGTCCCCAACCTTTTTGGCATCAGGGGCCGGTACTCCTATGAAAATCTTGATGATCTGAGGTGGAGCTGAGGTGGTGATGCTAGCGCTGGGGCACGCGGCTGCAGATACAGATGAAGCTTCCTGCCCATTGCTCACCTCCTGCTGTGTGACCCGGTTCTTAATAGGCCACAGACTGGTTGGGGACCCCTTTTGTAGGAGAGGGCTGATGGGAGCTGTGACTTTAGGCTGAAGAACACAGACGCTGCTGATCTGCTGGGGGGCTAAAGCACTCTACAGCACCCCCACATTCCCTTGCAATCTCCCGTAGGGTCTTCAATTGGCCAAACTCAACTGGAAGCATGAGGACATGGAGCCTGATTGCTGCAGTGCACAAGGTCAAATACTGGGAGGTGTGGGGAAGGGTGGAAAATGGGCAGGGGCAGGGCGGTGGGGGATACCTGCACAGTCATCTGGTATAGCCATTTAAAAGAAGTAATTTAGAAGTTAATGTGCTGTAATGTGGCACCCTCACCACAAATACATGGGACAAGAGGCAGCTAGAGATAGATGATCATGAGAAAGGTTTAAGGAATCTTATCACAGGAATTTGGGTCACCATCATGGAGGGACAAATAGCTCTGCTTAGTTTGACAATTCCAAGGTAAACATGTATGTTCATAAAGATAATGCTGAATTATGACAAAAAAAAAAAGGTTAAATGTGGTTACTGTACTACTTAACAGAGCTTTAACAGGGCAGGGGAGATTATAACACAATTTAGAGATATATCTATCCAAAAAAAGTACGACAGGGCTTCCAGTTAAATATGTCAGTTTATCCACATGTCCTGATCTCCTTTCTCTCCTGAAGTGCCACTAAAAGGCCAGTAAAGAAATAAAATGGTATAAACTCTCAGAGCAAAGAGGATGGTTAAGGAGACCATTCTCCTTAAAGATTGGATGAAGAGTGGATAAAGATTTCGGCACATTCCGAGAAGCTAGAAAGTGGATGGAGGAATGACGGCATGGGGGAAGCTAGTCTCTTAAGGGCCTGCAGAGGGGAACGCTGACAGGAGCCAAGTCACTTCACCTCCAGGACCCGGGAGGAGTTCAGACCTCGGGGAGACCAGGTACTATGATGCTGGGGTCAGGGACAGGAGAGGGTGGCGCAAGGAACCAGAGAAATTGGTTGGAATCCTCCCGGGTCCACCCCGTGCTCTGCCCCACACAGCAGGAGACTGAAGACACTGATCAGGAGACACACAGGCAGAAGAGAGGCAGATGAACAAGAGAATGAAAGCAGGAGGAGGAGGGCAAATCTGAACACTGAACAGTGGGACTCAGTGTTCCCACTCTTCACATCCCTCCCTGTCCCAGGAACAGATCACTCTCTACTGGAGTGTGGTGAGTTTAAAACATGGCTCCAGATTTTTGATGCTTCTTCCACTGAGTGGTGAGTCTCTGTCTCCTTCCCCGAGGGAGTGTCCTAGTGACTATAATGGAAGCGATACCATGTGACTTCCAAGGCCAGGCCACGCAAGGCCTTGCAGCTTCCATATTGCTGGCTGGCACGTTCTCACTGGACCCCTGAGCTCCCACATAAGAGGTCCAACTCCCAGGCCGCTGTGTTAGAGGGGCCATGTGTGGCCTCTCCGATCATCAGTGCCAGCTGAGCCCCAGCTATCCCTGCCAAGTGAAGAATCATCTTAGAAGTGGATCCTTCGGCCCCAGCTGTTCTAACTCGCAGCCTTTCACGCCACCCTCAATTGGTCCAGTCATCTCAGCCGAAGGCCCAGATATTGTGAGCAGAGAAGGGTTATGTCTTTTCCAAATTCCTGGCTTGCAGCATAATAAGAAGGTGACTATTTACGGTATTAAGTTCTGGGCCAGTTTGTCATGCAGTAATAGATAAGGGAACAAGAAGTTGGAAGCAGAATTGCTCTAGAGTAGTGGTCCTCAGTGGGGTGACTTGGCCCCCCAGGGGACATTTGGCAATGTTTATAGACATTGTTAGTTATTACAGCTCTGGGAGGGGGGTTGCTATGGCATCTGGTGGGCAGAGTCCAATGATGCTGCTAAGCATTCATTCTACAATGCATAAGAGCCCCTGACAACAAGAAATAATTTGGCCCAAAATATCAATAGTGCCAAGGTTGGGAAATCTAGTTCCTGAGAAAAGAGTATGACATTTATAGGCCTGTTAATGGAAAGACTGGCTTACTTCCCATGAAGCCCCAGTTCTCCCCAAACACACAATTTAATTCAGCTTTTATTGCTTCATTCATAAATATCAACAGACATCTAACATTTGAGGAAAGCCTCCAACATGAAGGAGAGAGAGAAAACAAACAAAAATACTATGAAAACAAAACAAATAGACAAATGAAAAATAAATAATACCTTCAGAAAGATAAGAGGGAGATGGTATATCCATAAATCAAGAATGTGATTATTATGAAAAAAGAACAATCAGATAACAAGAATGAGTATTTGTATATTAAAAATAGGAAAGCCATAATAATAAAAAAAAAAAAATCAACAGAAGGGTTAGAAGGTAAGGTAAACCCAAAAGGTGAAGGGAGGGTAAATAAGAGAGAAAATATTTTTAAAAATTAGAATATGAATCCAGTAGATCCAACAGATAAAATAGAGGGGAGAAAATTATCGAAGAACTACTATAACATTTTTTTTTTCAGGAACACAAGGACACAAAACACATAGCGCAGACATGAAGGATATGCCTTTGTTAACTACTGAGTTAACCCAAAATCATGTCATGTTCTTATTGGGAGGATGGAGGGAGGAGACCTGGAGGAGTTTCGTAGGAAAGCTCAATTCTCATCTACCACAAGGAGTCAACAGATGCCTAAAACTGGTAAATCAAGAAATAACGATATGAACAGAAATAGAAACTAATCGGAGGGTTGAAAGAGGCTATACCTCTAGAGAGTGCATGACTGAAAAAGATGGGGAAGGGATTTTTATTATGAGCCTCCCTGTACTATTGATATTTTAATCATATGAATGCATTATTTAAATACGCTTGATTAAAAATTTAATTAATATAAATACAATAAAAAATTGGAATGTGGTGGCATTAAATTGAATAATTTGGAAAATTCACTTATGCGGATGAGCCATGTCCCAAGGATGCTCAATAAACTGGCATGGGTGGGCATAAACCTCGTCAACATGGCAGTTTGTCCTGATGTCACTGGCCAGTAAGGCAGCTGGGGAGGTGGGGTGGGGATGGGAGCCGGCACAGCAGCCCTTGGGTGTTCACTGGCCCCCTCCCGCAGGCATTTGTGTGGGAGACCCTGTCTTTGAGGATGGATCCTAGCAGGCTGCCAAAGAAAAGAGGTGCTGGCCACCCTTTCAGGTGACTTCCAGGAATTCACTAGTGCTGGGTATTGGTTTGATATGATTTCAAATCTGCTTGTTTATGACTTAAGTGAAATTGTTTTAAGTCACCTGTTTATGGCAAGGACCAAAAAAAAGTTGTCCTGTTATCATATATAAGGATGAAGTAAGTTGTGTCAGGATATCATCATCTCACCTGTTGTTGCTGATAAGCCCTCAGTGGCCCAACTGCTGAGTAGCCCCGCTGGCGGCATATGGACAAGTACGTGTGGAGGAGCCACTGTGGCAAATGGACTTTCAGGCTATAAAGACCGAGAGTTTGTGAGGAGTATCTGAGAGTTTCGTCTGGGCACAGCGACTCTTTGCTGACCTAAGTAACTCTCTGAAGACCTTAGGGGCACATGCTCCACTTCGGGCAAAGGTGATTCTTAATGGCAGTGGTGAAAGTCCTACAGCAGCCTGAGAAGACAGATCATCTTGCCCTTCAACACTGCTGCCATCGTTCCCTAGCAACGTGCTCTAGTGACAAGGGACTTTTATTTTTTGCTCTGGCAGCTCGCCGGATGTTAGCTCTCAGTTGGCTTAAGCCATCTCTCCCAAGTACCAGCTCACATAAAGGTATACCTCAGTGAAATCTGAACTATTTTCCTCTTATTTCCCCTTGCCTGTTACAAGAGTGTAATTAATCCATCATTGCTCGTGAGTGTTATTTTTTATTGGCTTACTGAGAGACTATTCTATATGCTATTGGCTTGTGGAATTCCCTCAGTGAACCTGTGCTAAATAAACTATTAGCAAAGATAAGCTCAGTCTCTAATTTTGCACCCCCCCTCCCCACTCCCAACCCAAACAACTTGGATTCCCTGCCTTTCCTACTCTGGACAGGGACAAGAGACTGGGTTTTTGAAGGCGGGTGAGGAGCCCAGCCCAGGGCCGGAGCCACGGGGCTCCTCACGGGATGTGCTGGAGTCAGGCTGTCTCAGCAGCTGAAGGTGACTGCACACACTCATCATCATCTGATGAAACAGATGGGCCTTGGGTCACCATATTTCCTACCAGGGGTGCCCCCAGGAGAAGCCAAAGTGGAGAACATGCCTACAGGGGCTTAAACCTTACTTCTGAGGTACACAGGCTTGGGCACCAGCCCTCAGGCGTAACCATCTTTTTCTTTCTCCTCCTTCATCCACTGCCTTTCCTATTCCCGCTCCTCCCTGCCTCTGCCTCAGTCCTTCAGAGCACTGTTCAGCTGGCTTGCCTGCCAAATGCACTGCAGTTTCTTATTTTTATTTTTTTTAACCTTTTTAATTGTTACTTCCTTTCTTTTTTTTATTATATTATCATTATATAAGCAATATGTATTCCTTGTAGATAAATAAGAAAATATTGAAAATCACCCATACTTCTACCAGCCAAATAAAACCACTATTTGCCTATGAATTTCCAGGATGTTTCCAGGCTCATACACACAGGTAAATATATACATCTCATCTGGGTGCCCAGCTGCTAAGCACTCACCACTGCTGGACCCTGTGCTGGGGGCCTTTAGCTGTGTTAATCTCGCCAAATCCTCACAACTCAGTGAGGCAGGTATTGTTATGCCCATTTTACAGGGAGGGAGCAGAGCTTAGGGAGATCACATCACTTGCCTGAGTTCCCACGCTGGTTAAGAGACTGATCTGAATTTCCACCCTCCAGGCTGTCTAAAGCTACTTTCCTTGCATGGTTTGTAAGCTTTTTCCAATTTTCTTTTTCTTTTTCTCTCTTTCTTCCTTTTTTTTTTTTTTTTTTTTAACTTAGCAATGTATGCAAACATCCTTCTTGTCAATAAATATACACTTAGGTCATTCTGCTGCATGACATGCCCTTCTGTGGATGTGCCGGATTTTGAATGACCAATTCCTTTTTGTTGGGCTTTCCGATGTTTCCGTTTTTTTTCAATTACAAACAATGCAGTTATAAATATCTTTGTACATACACCTTTGCACAAATGTGATTATTTTCCCAGGATCAACTCCAGAAAGTGGGATTGCTTGGTTAAAGGCCAGACGCACTTTTAAAAGCTGCCTCTTGCCAATCGCGTCAACAGCGTATGTCGGTGCATATTCCCCCACATCCATCATTCACTTTTTGAAATTTGGACTGCGATTTAACACAGTATCAGAGAACCCCTATGCTGGAAGCATCCTAGTTTATTCACCTAAATCTATAACCAAATCATTCTGCATGAAAAAGAAAAAAAGGCCCAGACACTCTGCCAAGGCCTGTTGTGACTTTAGCAGGCCCGGCAGAACCTCCAGAGAGAGTGAGGAAGGGGAATGGCCTGGAGGGGGCCAGGCAGGGCCAACCTGTGGCCTACATTGACTGGCTTGGAGGAGGTTGCCATGTTTTCCCAAAGGAGGCACTGTCTTCCTGGGTCTACGGACCTCACAGCCACCCTGATGATCCACCCCTCTATACGAGCCGTCCTCACTGTCCCCAGTGCCTACACTCCATCCAGGAGGTCAACACAAGTCCCCTGGACCTTTACTTTGTGCAGTTGCCAACATATCAAACTCTAGTCTTCCCTGAACACCTTCCAAGGCCTTTTAAGTTGAGAAGTCCCAAATTAGACACAGTCTCGTTGTTCTCTTACCTTGATGCTATTTTCTTCTAATAGGCTGCAAACTCTAGCACCTAGAAAAATAAAATAAAAGGAAAGTAAATGATTGAGGCAGAGCACTGAGGGTGGGCCTTTGGGCAAAACAAGCCTGATAGAAGTTCAGTAACACGTGCTCATCCGTGGCGAGTTATTCAGAAGGCACTGGGGGCTGAGTTGGCAGCACGCTGGCTCAGGGCAGACACAGGCCCCAAGACTTCACACAGTGGCATCCTCCACCAGGGACATTTCTTTCTCACTAGCATGTTAATGCTTCCATGCGGGCAAAAACCCAGCGCTCTTTCCACCTCGTCTCAAGGCCTGTATAAACGGTAAGTGTTTTTTTCATACATTGTTGTGCATATAGCCATTCATCAGATATTTATTGAGCACCTGATGTATGCCAGGCACTGTCTTTGGTCTCTGGGGATACAGCAGTAGACAAAACAGACAAAACTCTCTGCCCTCATGGGGCTTGCAGTCTACTGAGGGAGACCAACAACTAAGTAACTAACTAAGTAACTAACTAAGTAACTAACTAACTAACTAAATACATAAATAAAATATATACTAGTCAGCAGATGTACGAGCTCTGGAGGAAAAATAAAGCAGAAGAGGGGGAAAGGGGATGTTGGAGCAGAAAATGGGAAGAAGTGCCAAAATTCTAAATAATGTGGGCAGGGAAGCCCAGACCAGACATGTGGAAAGGTAAATTATGGACAAAGACTTGAAAGAAATGAGGACATGAGCCCTGAGAGTTAATGGGAAAGAAGCTTTCCAGATGGAGGGACTAGCACGTGCAAAGGCCCGGAGGTGAGAGCCTGCCTGATGTGATAAAGCTCAGTGGGGAGGGTGATGTGGTCAGAGCAGAGTGAGTGAAGGGGAAGTAAGAGAGGGGATCAGAGAGGTAGTGAGAGGCTCCAGAGTGTGCAGGGCATTAAAGGAAGGCCCTTGCATGAACTTGAGCTTTGACTCAGATGGGAGCCACTGGGAAGTTTTATATAGAGAAGTGACATGATATGACTCACATTTTAACAAGATTGCTCTGGATGCTGCGTTGAGAATAAACCGGGTAGCATAGGTAGAACGCAGGCAGAAATCCTGGCAGGAGATAATCATGGCTTGGACTAGAGAGGCTGCATAGAAGGACTGAGCCAAGAGGATTTGCTGATGGATTGGAGTAGGATATGAAATAAAGGAGTCAAAGAGGATTCAGACGTTTAGCCTCAGCAAATGGGAGGGTGGAACTGCCATTATCGAACTGCAGAAGTCTGCTGATGGAGCATGTTTGGGAGTAAGATAAGGAACTCGGTTTTGGACACATTAATATAAGATGCTTTTTAGACGCTCAAGTGGAGAGGACTGTAGGGTACGTGAGTCTTGAGTTCAGGGGAGAGGTTCAGGCTGGAAATGAAGATTTGCAAGAGCTCAGCAGGTAGCTTTTTAAAGTCATGACAAAGGATGAGATCACCAAGGGACTGAACAGAGACGCTGTCCAAGGATTGAGCCCCAGCTAATTGTTCAACAAAGGACACTGAGAAGTAGCAAGTACTATAGGAGGAAAATCAGGAGAAAGGGCTTCAGGGAGGGTGGGGCGATCGATTGTGATAGGTCAAGTCATACAAGGACAGAGGATTAACAATCGGATTTAGCGTCTTGGAGTCACAGGTGATCCTGATCAGGGGCAGACTCAGCAGAATGGCTGGGATGCGAACCTGATTAGAACAAGTTCAAGAGAGGGGCTGAAGTGGAGGACAGAGTGGGCCGGCCGCAGCGGAAGTGCTGGAAGCAAAGGGGAAAGGGATGATATGAAAATTGCTTCTATCTTCCCTTCACTATTCTAGAAAAAGCAAGCGCAAAGCTGGCATTTCCACAGCACCTGTCAATGGCAGCCGTTGTTATCAGGCTGGGCCAGGTGCTCCAGGTTGCTGAGCTTCATGCAGTGCTGGCCCCATGAGCTGACTACCTGCCTGTTTCTAGACTCCTATGAAGTTATTCCCATGTTCCCACTGTCACAGGTAGCCTTAGGATCAACGCCCATAGTTTGGGGCTGCTCCGTTCGTTAGAAACCAAGATCTCACTTGGGCCCCTTCTCCTGATGGGAGTCAGAGGGAGCAAGATAGGCAGGGGCTTGCTCTCATGAGCTTGCTGGTGGAAGAGGCAAATAATCACCAAGGAAACAGAAAAGCAGGCAGGTCACTTCAGATGTGGACAAGTGCAATGAAGATGATAAAATGGGGTGAAAGAGAGAGAAAAGGTGTGGGAGGGGCCTCCTTCAGCCAGGTTGTGTGGTCAGGTGACATGAGACCTGGACGAGGGTACTTCTCTTCCAGATGGCCCCTCCCACACTACTCTCGGGCTTTCCAATCTCCCAAGGCTGGGTAGAGCCTGGGGCCATCTAAGTACAGCCGAAAGATGACATTCTCTATCTTTTCTCTCTCTAAATTCCACTGTGGGGATTTTTCTGCATGATTACAAAAGACATGCATTTTCACTGAAGGAACTGGAAAATACTGAAAACAGAAGAAAACAAAAGTCACTTACAATTCTACTACCCTGGGACAACTACTGTTCGCCACTGGTATGCATCCTTCTGGACAGTTTCTATGCATATACAGACATGTTTTTTTTTTTTTTTAAATGAGATCCTGTCATGAATTCTGTTTTGTATACATTGTTTTAGTCATGAATTTTGACTAAATCTATTATGAGTGCTCTTCCCATGTCATTTAATTTTCTGCTACCTGATGATTTTCAGTGACTGCATGGTATTTCATTGAATGCATACTTTTACCATATTTTATTTAATCCCCAAACATTGGCCATTTAGATTGCTTTCAAATGACTGCTAGTATGAATAAAGGCTATAACGAACAATCCTATGTCTTTTTTTTTCTTAGCGGAGGAGCTTGCAAATCTCCGATTGTTTCCTTGGGTTAAAAGAAAATGTCACTGCCCAGTGGGGGTGCCACAGGTCTCCTGAGATCAAGAGGCAGCCTGCGGCTGAGGGCAGTGTAAGGGCATAGCTGAGCCAAGGAGCCCAGAGGTCATTGAGATGCCAGAGGCTGATCTAATGCTCTGATCTACCCTAGTCTTGTTTTTCTCCCTCAATGGCCTGAGCAGTGGAAAAATGGTAGGTCCCTCCCATAAACCCAGTGAAATCCAAAGGGATTCCCCACTTCAGCCAGGAAGAGGGTGTCACTCTCTAACTGAGCACCCCCATCCTCCCTTGAAATCCCCTTAGGAAGCTCCTCCCTCCATCCCTCCCTGGGGGAAATATCCCAGTGGTCAGGCATTCAGGCTTCCCTTGGTGCAGGGCTGCCAGGAAACAGGGCTCCAAAGAAATCCAGCACCCCTCCTATCCCGGACCCAGCCTTGCTCCTGGATCCATGAATTCCTCAGAGGGCCTGGCAGGGATGGCCTACGTCCCCCATGGGAGGAGTGTCCCGAGGGGCAGTGAGTTCTGGGGTGAGGTGGGAAAAGCACAAGCCCAGGAGGACACCAGACTTGGGTTTGAATCCCAGCTCTGGCACATTCCAGCCTCGTCTTGGGCAAGTGACTTCCTTATGGAATACGAGCTCCAGGAGGGAGAGATTTGGGTCTGTTTTGTTTACTGTTTTATCTGCAACACTTAGCACAGAGTAGATGCTCAATAAGTACTATGCCAGATGGATGCATGATCCTTTCTGGGCCTCAGTTTGCTCATCTGTAAAATGGTGATGATAACACCTGTCTCACAGTCTTGTTGCGAGGACTAAATAAAACATGGGTAAAATACTTGACACAGGGTCTGATGTTCAACAAACAATAGAGTCCAAAGCCCTGGAGAGTTGCTTCCACCATGCCCCACACCCCACAGCAAGGCAGGAAGCTCTGCAGTTTCCCTTTGTCAGATAGAATGAGTTTGCCTCTGCTCCGCTCACTGCTGCACCCCAAACACGCCTCTGGTATGGCCCACATCACACTGCGTGTGTGCTTGTCTGACCCCCCAGTTAGGCTCCAGGGCAGTTTAAAGACAGGAATTTTGCCTCTATATCTTCTGTGCTTCTGAGCAACAAGGTCATTTATCTCCATTCTACAGATGAGGGAACTGAGACTAAGAAAGGTTAGGTCCCTTGCCCCAGTCTCACGCGGGAAGTAGCAGAGCAAGATTTAAATCTGGTTCTGATTTCTGCTCCCCTGCTCTGTTCTAGGTGATTCTCTTGCAAGTGGGAGTGGTGGGAGGGGGGTTATGAGGAAGCGAGCCAGTTCCTATGTCCCGTGGGAAAAGGCAAGCAGAACTCCAAGAGGAAGGATGTCTTCGGGGAGTCGGCAGGACACCAGTGGTCTCATCCTCCTGCGATCACCATGTATGCAGCAGCCATGGCCCCCAGAGGCCCGTGGTCTGGCTGCTCTGGAACAGGCTGGTGCAAAGGCAAGAGACTCGGCTTACCTCAGCAGCAGGGCTAGTGGCTGAGGGTACCTGCTCAAGACTGGCCTATCTCCAGCTATGGGACAGGAAGGGCTCCCCGCTAGACCACAAGCCTCTTGATTTACCCATCCCTGTAATCCCAGGACCCTACTGAATGAGTGAGAGCCCCCAACTGCCAACATGGAAAGTGAGGAAGAGGACACAGCTAGACCTGAGCCAGGGATGCTGACGAGGAAACAAGGGACCAGGTAGAAGAGTTTTTAATGACCAAGAATGGCCTGTCTCCCCTCCCCCCCGTTAAACCATAGGTTTCTGGAGGGCAGGTCCTTGCTGACTCATCTGTGTCTCTACCACACCCAGTAGATTACTTTGCAGAAAGTTGCTACTTGGTAAGTGTAGCTTATTGCAGGTGTTACTGGAAGCCAGTCTACAAGATGACAGATGGCAGCTGCTTTTTGCACCTGGGTCATTCGGAAAGGGCTAGTCCTGCTGGTCCAACGTCCTGACCAGGGTGACTTGGGGAAGGGTGGAGGCATTTCAATTGGGGTATTCACAGAGTGTGCCTCCCTCCCAACCCCCACCCCCTGGGGGACTAACTCCTCCTTCCCTGGCCAAAGAGACCACTTG